GTGTGGGGAATGTTGTGGAATATTACTTTACAACATGTGAAGATGTGTCACTGTGGTTGGTTTAATAAAGAGCTGGACGGTCAATAGCTAGGCAGGAGGTATAGCAGGGCTATGTAGAGAAACCCTGTCTCAAAGAACAAAGGAAATATAAAGGTAGTATTTCTCACAGGAAAAGCTAACATGGGCTTGAAGATGCACTCTGTAGACTCAGAGCCTGTCCTGTTGACACTCACACTAGTCTCTCAATTGTATCAGATTCTTCATGATGGAAGGACACACAGCAGCACATGCTCAGCACATAGCTTGGCACTGTGAGGTTATGTGATAATATTAGTAAAAGGAGTGTGGACTCCAGAGATGGACACTACTGAGTGTGTTGGGTGTAGATGGAACCCTTTGGGAACAGTTTTGAGGACTGAGGAGAAATAAGACTCCCCACAGCAACCTGAAGGAAAGTTAGAGGAGCCTGTGTCATGACAGAATGCCTTCTGGGCTCTCAGAGCAATGAATCAGAGAGGCTGGGGCAGACAGCAGCCCTCCTGATGCCAGGGGGGGCCGAGGCGGCAAGGAGCAAACTGCATCCTCTGACTCAGGTGAACTCAGTTGTCCCTTTGGAGCAATCCCTACAATGTGTCACCATGGGAACCACACTCTTTACCCAGCAAGTTTGCTGTTCACACAGGTAAGTGATAAGCTAAAAGCTCTATGTGTTGTTAACCTCTCAATGAGGAGGTCAGCGAAGGAATTTCATTGTACTCAAGGTATTCAATACAGGCAGGGGATAAAGGGTTCTATACATAAACTCCTCCAACACCAAACAAAGGAAAATGGACGCTCCACACAATCTCTAAACTCCAAGTTCAGACGGCAAAAGCAAACTATGAAAAAAATGTTCTAATTTAAGAAAAGCAGCACTCATTTTAAGAAAAATGACATGCAACGGGGGGGGGGGGAATCAAGCAGAGGGGAGGGGGAGACCAGCCTCAGGGGACAAAGAGCAGCAGGAGAGAGGAAAAGAGGGACAGAGAGGGGGAGGGGAGGAGAAGGAAGGGGAAGGGGAGGGGGAGGGGGAGGGGAGGAGAAGGAAGGGGAAGGGGAGGGGGAGGGACAGAGGAAGGGAGAGGGGGAGGCAGGAGGGGCAGGGACCTTTTAAAAGGGAACGTAGTGACTGTGCACAGGCGGTGCTCTCAGTGGCTGCCACTGAGGGTGCATCCTGTCAGAACCCCAAGGACCGGCCAGTACAGGTGCCTGGATACTAACAGGTGTGATCAGGACTAACTAGTGGAAGATTCTCTTTTCCCATAAGGGAAGGCAAAACAATTGTAATTTCCAGGGCTGGAAGATGGCTCAGAGCTTAAGAGCACTGGCTGCTCTTTCACAGGACCCAGGTTCAGTTCCCAGCACCCACATGGCAGCTCACACCCACTTTTAACCCTGGTTCTGGAGATCCATTGCCTTCTCTGGTCTTCTCAGGCACCACACACACTTGGTGCATAGACAGACAGACATGCAGTCCAAACACCCACAGACATAAAAATATAAAATTGTAATTTCCATTATGCAGAGAGGAAGTTCTGGCCTTGAGGACATCCTCGACTAATCCAACAAGTGGCTACATTTAGCTGCATCCTTGGAGCTGGTCCCAAAAGCCAAGTATCAGGTTCTGTGCAAAGTTCAATCACGAGCAGTATGAGGAGCCTCCTGGGAGGGCCAGCATGCCTTGCTCTATGGGTCCATAAAGTAGCAGGGTTCCAGCACCTCCAAAGAGGAGACACTGAGGTCTAAGGTCAGGCTACAACACTAGAACCTTACCGTGCACGGCACACGAGATGATCTGTGTGCGCTCTGCCAGCATTAGGTTTGATGGCTAAGCTATTATTATTCAGTGCTGCCCTGGCTCTTCAGCTCCAAAACCTTAACAAGGGCAAAGGGATCCCTACCTATCTCTACCGTCTGAGATGTGGCCATCCACGCATCCAGCCACTGGGGATTGAGGCCGTGGGTGCCAGGCTTTTCATCTCTCTGTTTTTGACAGTTGATAGATGGCTTTAGTAAGATGAGTAAACATTTTTCTTTTCCTGTCAGATTCAGATCTGACAAGACAATTGCATAATTAATTTTTTTCGTCTGTACAATACAAAGTATTCATCTAGATAGGCATGTATAAAGCATGAATTCCAAAGGTGAACTGAGCCACTTGGGAGGCAGAGGTAAGCAGATCTCTGTGAGTTCTAGGCCACCCTGGACTATATCCTGAGATACCCATCTCAAACATTTAAAAAGGTAAATTATCCTGCTCTCATTAGGAATTTAGCTCTTTTGTTGATGTTGCTGGAACAGATTCATATGTCCTGACACCATGGCTGTGCAGGTGACCCTGAACTCCAGATTCCCCAGTCTCCATCAACACTGTGCTGACATTATGAGTGTGTGTCACGGTGGCCAGTTCAGGGGTATGACTTTACCCCTGTACTCACTGCAAGAACATTTTCATAAAACATAAGAAGTTGTCTCTAGTCTGTATCCCATTAAAGGCTATCCCACACCCTTAAAAAAAAAAGTGTGGCACCCTCAATGGAGAAACTGGGGAGGGTACTGCTGGTAGGACTTCCTGACCACACTGACCCAGCACTACCCCCTCTGGTGGATGCTAGAAACAGGAACATCGTATGTGTCCCAGACATCCAAAGATGCCAAGTCAGAGATGCCCTGGGTGATGGCCGGTAGGAGCCAAGTTGAGCCTTTTCTACCATGTGGTGTTTGCCATACTGGTTGCTTCTCCATTAAATTCTTGCATCGATTTGACTTCAGGAAAGACCTCCAGGGATCATCCCAGAACCCCCTTAAAGATGGTAGAAGCTGGGGGGCAGGGCCAGATTTCTGGGGGTTACCACTCGCACACTCGCACTACATACAGGCTGCTGGTGGGATCTGTTGCTGTCCTGGACCTGCCAACTGCAGCGCAGGGCGGCTCCTGGGGACAAGGACCCCGGAAGACACTGTGGCCCACGGTCCTTGGTCCCCACCATCCTCACCTGGCTGTACACACAGTGCAGGGACAACCTGACTGCAGAACGCACCAGGCACTGACTGTATGTTTTCTAGGGAAAGGTTCCTGTAAAAGCTCAATCAGCAACAAATCACACAACTTTGTGTTTTGACAAAAGGCTATGATCTCAGCGATTGGGTCAGAGAAGCAGAACCAGAAAAAAGTGTGAAGCAGCAGACTCTTTCTCTGCATAGATTCAGGAGATGCAGATTCACGTGGTGCTGAGAGACCACAGGCCTTCAGAAACTTGACAGTTTCAGGTGGAGCATGGCGCTTTCTTCCACAAAACAGCATTGGCTCCAAGTTCCACGGCAGGAAGAGCAGCTGGGGCTGACCCAGTTTACCCCTCATGTTCCTGAGAGCTTTGCTCATCCTTAATTACAAAATTATAAATAATCCAGAAGGGGGCAGCAGTGGTGCACGCCTTTGAACCCAGCACTTGGGAGGCAGAGCCAGACGGATCTCTGTGAGTTCGAGGCCAGCCTGGTCTACAGAGCGAGTGCCAGGACAGCCCGAGACAGACAGAGAAACCTGTCTCAAAAAACCAACCAACCAAACAAACAAACAAGAAAAAGGAAAGCATAAAGAATGATTGGTTGAAGTGTGAGTGTTCTTCACTTTTGTTTGCTTGTTTATTCGTTGTTTTTTGAGACAGGATTTCTCTATGTATGTAGGCTCCGAGTGCTGGGATTAAATTCACGTGCCATCACTGCTTTCTTGGCTCTTTGGGGTTTTCTTAGAGGCACTATGACAGTATCTTTGAAGTTGTCCCCAAAGTTAAAAAGATGATGATGGCTCAGCAACAAAGCTTTGCTAAGAAAATGCTTAGGGCAGAGCCTGGCCGCACCCCTTGTCCCCAAAGGTGGGGTGGGGTTTCAAGCAGCTACATCTGGACAAAACTTAGCCAGCTATTCTTTTCATTTGTCTCTCGTGGAGGTCAGCCACCTTTACCGAATGGGTTCTCTTGCTGCTGTGTGGGTGCTTGAACTCGGGTTGTAAGTCTTGGCAGCAGGCATCTTTGGCCACTGAGCCATCTCACCATCCCTTTAATCAGCTACTCTGATGTGGGGCAAGGAAAACTGGGGTGTATTCGGACTTCTTCCAGGTGTACTCATAGCCTTCATTTTGCGAAGCTGGAGGCCCACTGCTCAATGGTGCACTTCACAGGATCACTTATTTATTTATTTAGAGACAGGGTCTCCAGTATCTCTTGATGGTCTCAAACTTGCTGGTTGTCAAGGATGAAGTTGAAATTCTGATCTTTCTGCTTCCATCCTCTGAGTCCCTGGACTACAGGTGTGCACTGCCATGGCCAGCTGTGTGGCTCTGGTAATTTAATGTAGGGCTCCCCCAACTGAGCTACCCCAGCCAACGTCCCATTTTAATGGATTCCCTCCTCCGCCCATCCTGGATAAAGATGGCTGGCATCAAAGCACATATAGCACTATTAGTTCTCTCCATAACTAAAGCTAGGGCTTGGTTTTACTTTGTTTCTTAGGAAGAGTCTATGTTGTCTAGTGTCATCTCTAATTGGGTTCAAAGTGACTCTGCTACCTCAGCTCCCGGAGCAGCTTGGGTCACGGGCGTGCTTTGCTGACCTGGCTAGAGTGAGACTTTCCTTCCTTCTTTCTGTGTGTGGGTATTTCCCTGCATGTATGTCTGTGCAGCATGTGTGTGCCTGGAGCCCAGAGGCCAGAGAGTGCATCAGGTACCCTGAAACTGGAGTTAGACAGTGTGAGCTGCCATGCGGATGCTGGGAACTGAACCTGGGTCCCCTGGAAGAGCACCGAGTGTTCTGAGCCGTCTCTCCAGCCCCTAAATGGAAACTTTTGAGTGGCTTTGCTTTTCAAATCTGTTTTTTTTTTTTTTGTTCAGTACTCATGGTGCCCAGTCTTGAAAAGCTTAAGAGCGTCACTGAAATGTCATTGTAGTGCATAGGCTGTTATTTTAATTTTTGTTTTTAATTTTTGGAGACAGAGTTTCTCTGTATGTCTTTGGAGCCTGTCCTGGAACTAGCTCCGTAGACCAAGCTGGCCTCGAACTCACAGAGCTGTACCTGCCTCTGCCTCCCGAGTGCTGGGTTCAAAGGTATGCGCCACCAAAGCCTGTTAAAGAGGAATTATTCTTTTTTTTTTTTTTAAATACCTTATTCAAAACATTCATTTAGCTACTAATCTTAATTTCCTGTTGGTTTTTAATCAAACCTTTAAACTTCAGCTTATGAAACAGGATGGCAATTCCTTCCCTGAGTTACTAACAAGGGTCGTTTTGAATCTCCACAAGAGCAGCCGACATCATGCACAGCATTACGTGGTGGGATTGCAGAGCTTGGCCTCAGCAATGTTCCTCTGGAGGGGAGCCAGAATGACCCCAACATTCCTGTCTTCACTCTCGGAGCTGTACAGGTCATGCTTTTCAATGTACTCTTGGACAAGGTCGGGGACCAAGTAGCGGATGCTCTGGCCCCTTCTGAGAGCTCTCCGGATCTTGGTGGAGGAGATGTCATTGGTGATCCACTCATCCACCAGGTGGATGTTGCTCCGATGTCTCCACAGCACGTCGGACTCGTAGATGAATTTCTGAGCATCACTGCCAGACCTAGTGATACATATGAGCCCGTAGTTGGCCACGATCTGGGTGATGTCCTCGATCTTCCACAAGTTGGGCACATTGAAGGACTCCAGTAAATCTGCCCCACACAGCAGTTTCACCCTGGGCACACCTTGAGGGAAGAACCAAACAGAGCGGCAGGGTTTGTTTTCTTTTACCTTTTTTTCAAGGCAGGGTTTCTCTGTGTAACAGTCCTGGCTGTCTTGGAACTCACTCTGTAGACCAGGCTGACCCTGAGCTCAGAGATCCGCCTGCCAGTGCTGGGATTAAAGGCGTGCGCCACCACCACCCAGTGGGTTTGTTTCTTTATAATCACCCGCATTAAAGTGACTGTGTGTGCAAGGAAGTAGCTCTGCTATCTGTCTTTTACCCCGGAATCATTCCACCCTTCCCACAGTCATGAGGAGCTCAGCAGGTATGGAGTAAGAAAAGAAACTACCAAAGGGGTCTCAACCATAGAGCATGCGCAACCTTCGGATCCTGGTCAAACCTCACCAACCTGTTGGCTTGGGCTCTTGGGCCTTTTTTGGGTTCGAGTCCTGCTTCTGTTCATCCCACTTCCTCTTCCGCCCGGGCCTGTCCAGGGAAGGTGAGCGCTCACAGCCACCAGTTGCCAGCTTCTCCTGGTGGTGTCTACAAAATGACAACACAAAAGAATGTTCTTTGGTGGCTGGAGAGATGGTTCAGCAGTTAAGAGCACTGGCTGTTCTTCCAGAGGACCCAGGTTCAATTACCAACACTCACGTGACAGCTCATAATAGTCCAGTTCCAGGGGCTCCGACACACACACACACACACACACACACACACCACCAGTGTACATGAAATAAAAAGATAAAATTTAAAAAAGATCGTCCCTTGATGTCAGAGTGCCCTCTGAAGTATCCTTGTGTGTGCTGTGTGTGTGTGTTGCAGCAGAGAGAGTTAATAGTAATTATTTATTCTTTTCCACTGTCTGGCCCAATCTTCTCACCTTCTCATGTTATGAGAAGTACAAGCCTTACAATGGAGAGGAAGATGGAGACTTGAGAATTGCAGGTCATGAGCTGGGTGGTGGTGCATGCCTTTGATCCCAGCACAAGGGAGGCAGAGGCAGGCGGATCTTTGTGAGTTTGAGGCCAGCCTGGTCTACAGAGCTAGTTCCAGGACAGGCTCCAAAGCTACAGAGAAACCCTGTCTCAAAAAAAAAAAAAAAAAAAAAAAAAAAAAAAAAAGAGTTGCAGCCAGGTGGAAGTAGTCCTTTCCTTTAATTCCAGCACTCGGGAGGCACAGGCAGGTGGATCTCTGTGAGTCTGAGGCCAGGCTAGTCTACACAAAGAAACCCTGTCTCGAAAAACAAACAAAACAACAACAAAAGGGCTACCTGTGCATCTGGGGCAGAGTCCCTGAGACTCATCAAATGACGGAGAACAGGCTCTACTTCCTGTCCGCCTCTATCGGGTGTCTGCCAGCCCCACTGAGAGCAGAGCTGATTAAACTGTCCACGGTTTAGCTTATGTTTATCAGAACTGGGATTTGAGTCCAGCTGTCTGCATTGGCACCTATGCCCGTGAGCACTAAATACCATGGCCTGATCTTGGAATGAAGAAGCACATGGCAAGGACAGAGACAGGGAGGGCCATGTGCAGGAGGCCTTCCAGGAAAGCAGCTCGGCAGGAGTTGGGGCTGGCTGCAGAGACGCACTACCTTACATCAGTGCAAAGCTACTCCGGCAATATGGTCCTTACTGCTAGACCCAAGAGCAGGCCGACCCTTCATGCCTTTAACCCCTTCCCCCAGTGAACAGCCAAACTGTCCAAAGAGATCCAAGGTACCATAGGACCTGAGAGATACAAGTTACCATGGAGATACAAGTTATCACGGGGCCAGAGAGAGTGGGTAGGGTTGAAACAAGAGCATGGCCTCCTGGGAAGTTTTAGTATTAGCAGTGAGACCATTTTCCTATTAAACCTAAAAAGGAGCCCTGATCCACCCAGGTAGCTGCCACCTTCTCTCAGTGCCCCTAGTGCCCCACCCTTCCCTAACACTTGCCAGAGCCCCTCATGGAAACTTTCCAGTGTTGCTGAGGTTCTGTGGATAAGACCATCAGAGAGTCCTGTGAGACAGAAGGCACTGTCACACTGTAGCATCCTCCATGACCCACAGCTCAGGGCCCAGTGCCTTTTGTCTGTGACCTCAACAGTCACAAAGGGCAGTGGGAGCAGACAGGTCCTGCCCTGACTGTGCACAAGCCACTGTGATGTCTCCGGACACTTAGACACATGGTCCTCACGTCCAGGCACACTGCACTCCAAGTGCCCAGAGCGGCCTCCGTGTCCTACTCTGCCCCTTCCTTATTCAGCCAGTCTGGAGGACTGAGTCCTTAGAAGAAGCCTTAGATGAAAGGGCATTCAGAAACCCCTTCATTCACTCTCAGGGCCAGAAAGAGTTGGTTAGACATTGCTTCCTTCACGGGTTGCATAGGAGAGCCTCCTGTGCGCTCCTGGAAGTACCACAAAGTTGAGCTGGAGCCTGAGCAAACACTGCCTGACACTCCTTATTAAATATGATAAGGCTGGGTAGTGATGGCGAGCGTCTTTAATCCCAGAGCTCGGGAGGCAGAGGCAGGTGGATCTCTGTGAGTTCAAGGCCAGCCTGGTCTACAGAGCGAGTTCCAGGACAGCCAGGGCTGTTAATATAGAGAACCCCTGTCTTGAAGAACCAGAGAGAGAGAGAGAGAGACAGAGACAGAGATAGGCAGAGAGAGAGCACAAGCACGAGAGCCCACTGCTGTGAGAGGGATGTGGGGGCAGAGGAGCCTCTTCAGAACATTCAGTGCACTTCCCTGAGCAAATCCCGAGACCAAAGAAGAGCTCAGACATTTATAAGTTTGGGAGCAGGCTGGCAGGAATTTTCATATCATCTTGTTTAATTTAACAAAGTGACAAAGAACACGGAAGAATCAGGATCGTAAGGTGAGAACCGTCAAGTCACATCTCAGACTGCAGGGAGTACTGACTTCATCTCTTTGGGCTGTGGGCCCTAGCCTTTTTAAAGCATCACTGTCTTGAAGATTAGGCCCATGCTCTAACCTCCCCTTTAAGCCATGCCCTTCCCTCTCCCACCCCCTAGAAGACTGATGATTAGCCAGGCGGTGGTGGCACACGCCTTTAAGCCAAGAGCTCAGGAGGCAGAGGCAGGCTGATCTCTGTGAGTTCAAGGCCAGCCTGGTCTACAGAGAGAGAGTTCCAGAACAGGCTCCAAAGCTACAGAGCAACCCTGTCCCCACGCCCCACCACTGCACCATCCTTGAGGAACTCTGTCTTTATCTCTTCAGGCAGGAAGCCCAGGCTGGCTTCCTTTATTCTCTGACAGGCATGTCTGAGGAACAACCTTGCCAACATCTCATCTCATGCTGAAAGATACTTAGGTGTGTCCCAGCTCTCTGCTGTGTTCTGCAGCCTGTGGTAACCTTCTGTAGGAAGGTGCAGCCCTCTGCTGCCGTTTGAGTAAGAATGGCCCCCACAGGCTCATATACTCACATGCTTAGTCACTAGGGACCGGTGATATACAGACCTGTCAATCAGATGCAGGCAGACATGGCAATGGGGAGGGCCCTCCCCCCAGCACCGCCGTTACCTGAGCACCTTCACAGTTTCCACCCACTCCTTCTGAAGGCTTTCCCACGTGTCCACTTCCACCCAGGGTGAATTCTTGGTGGCAAGTTCTGCCATGATAATTCGGTGGTGGGCAGGGATGAGTCCTTTCTTCTTATACGCATCACCAACAGGTGAAATTATGCCTTTGATAACTCTGTATCTCCCTGGGTAAAGAGTTGGGTTGATATGAGAGATAACAAATCAGATTTTTATGGACAGAAAGTACAAGCAATATTATCTCATAGTTACAATTCTCCCCCTTTTGTAAACAAAGAGTCAAATTTAGTAGCTAATTGAAACTATGGTAAGGGTCTGGCAAGGTGGCTCAATTGATAAAGGGGTGTGCTGTCAAGACTGATGATCTGGGTTCAATCCCCAGGACACTCCTGGTGAAAGGAGAGACCAGGCTTCTCCATCCGACCTCTTCCTCATGCGCACCATGTCACACGTAATACCGCACATGTAAGTAAATGGATTTCACTTAGAAAGGAGCCTGCAATAACATATCGCCACAGTTATCATTTAAAGTATTTTAAGTATTTAACAGTCCTGAAGTGTTAAGCACATGCACACTGTTACACTGCCTTCACAACTGCTACCTTCTCCAACTACAGCCCTACATCCCTGAGACACTCTGGGTTCACACACATGGCTTACATTTAAAATTCCTGTTGGCCAGGATTCCAACCAGAACTGCTGAATTCCCTGTTCAAAGCCTGACTCAATTTGCACTGTTCACCTAAAACAGGAGCAGGGATTGTCTGTCCTCAGCTAGGTGCTTGAAAACACCAAGCAAGACTTACCTGACTGTGTCTGCTCAGTTCTGCCCCCTTCTTATGCTATTCACACACAGACACACACAGACACACAGACACACAGACACACACACACACACACACACACACACACACACACACACACGGCCCATACAAGGTCTCTCTGTGTAGTCTTGGCTGTGCAGGAACTGGCTATGTAGACCAGGCTGAGACCCACTGGCCTCAGACTTCCCAGTGCTGAGAGTTGGGATTAAAGACATGCAGCATCACATTCAGCTTTATTCACACTTTCTTTCTTTCTTTCTTTCTTTTTTTTTTTTTAAAGATTTATTTATTTATTAGGCATACAGTGTTCTGTCTGCATGTATCCCTGTAGGGCAGAAGAGGGCACCAGATCTCATTATAGATGGTTATGAGTCACTATGTGGTTGCTGGGAATTGAACTCAGGACCTCTGGAAGAGCAGTCAGTGCTTTTTAACCTCTGAGCCACCTCACCAGCCCTATTCACACCTTCTTGCTACAAACTTTGCAAGAAGCCCTTTCCCCTGCTGACCAGCTTCTCTGGCCCCATTTCCTTCTTCTGGCTAACTTTCTACACCAGGAAACAGAGCAACACGCTTATGTCCGGGAGCAGGCGTTCACACTAGTCAAGTGCAGCTCTAGTCTTTGTTTGTTTTGGTTTTTTGTATTTTGAAAACAGGGGTTCTCTCTGTAGCCTTGGCTGTCCTAGAACTAGCTCTGTAGACCAGTCTGGCCTTGAGCTCAGAGAGATCTGCCTGCCTCTGCCTCCTGAGCGCCAGCGGTAATGGCGTGCGCCACCACTAGTCTTAAGTTACCTGCATTTTGCTCCTACCTGTTGCATTCATGTAGTCCTTGCCCAGCTCAAACAGCCTGAGGTGCATGTTAGTGATCGGATTAAAAGACCCACAGGCCAGGAGAACCACTTCCGTCTTCTCGGATGTGTCCATGGTGAGAAGTTGGAGCTGCTGATCTAAATGGAAGCTTCTGGCACCATTGCTGTCTACAAAGGAAAAAGGAAACAAGCTCATTTATAGATCTCTTGACATCTGCCCATGTTCTCCCTGCAAGCAGCTGGGCAAAGTACTTGGCTTCATGGACTGCGATGGACTGTAAAGCTGGCTTCACTTTCTGCCCTTTGTTTACGTGCGTACAGTTCCTACCAGGGAGTGGGAGAGAACTATTCCTTATGCTCTGCTTTGCTCAAATGATTATGGCAGAAAAGACAGCATATTAGTCCTGAGCCTAGCACTTGGAGGATAGTATACCACAGAGTTTTCCGCTGTTATGGTAACATATAATAATAGGCATGTATCTAATTCCTGAATGTGGTAGCCGAACACAGGAGACAGCAACAAGGTCTCAGCCCAGGTTGGCCTGAAACTGGCTATGTAGTCAAGGATACCTTTGAACTCCTGATCCTCTTGCCTACACATTCCAAGTGCTGTATTACATGTATGCTGCCATGACTGGCTAAGGCTAGGTACATTTTAAAGAGAAGAGATTCCACAGGCCTAAGAAATTAGCACCGGCACCCTGGCTGCATCACCAGCACCCTAGCTGTGGTGATATTTTATGTCCGCTATAACAAATAAAGCTTGCCTGAAGATCAGAGTGAAGAGCTAAACCACTACTAGTTAGCCATAGAGGCCAGGCAGTGGTGGCTCACACCTTTAATCTCAGCACTCGGCAGATGGATCTCTGTGAGTTCAAAGCCACCCTGGGCTACATGAGATTGAATGTGTCTGAAAGAGAAACAGAGCTCCCACCAAGGTGATCCCAGCACTTGGAGTGACTGACACTCCTTTAATCCAGCACTAAGAAGGCAGACAGGAGGGATATGGCTGGGCAGAGAGAGGAGCATAAGGTGGGAGGAGACAGGAGCCTGGGCAGGACTGCTACTTTGGTCTGAGCATCGGTAGAATAAGAATTCTCTAGTGGCTGGCTGCTCTGCTTTTCTGATCTTTCAGCTTTCACCCCCTGATAGCTGATTCTGAGTTGTTTTTTTTTTTTTTTTTTAGGTTTTTCTTGAGATATTGTTTCTCTGTGTAACTGCTCTTGCTGTCCTAGAATTTGATCTGTAGTCCAGACCAGCCTCAAACTCACAGAGATCAAAGGTGTGCGCCACCACTGTCCTGTCCAAGAGTTTTTATTATTAAGACCAATTAGAATGCATGCTTCACAGTCCTGTTCAGAAAGGGTCAAGCCTATGGTGCAGCCTAACTGTGAAACAAGTTGGACACCTTTAATCCCAGCACTCAGGAGGCAGAGGCAGGTGGATCTCTGAGGTTGAAGCCAGCCTGGCCTACAGAGCAAGTTCTAAGACAGCCACACTACACAGAGATACCCTGTCTCAAAAAAATACCAACAAGCAAAACAAAAACCTGCTCTCCTGAGGCCAGGTGATGGTGGTGCATGCCTTTGATCCCAGCACTCGGCAAAGGTAGGCGGATCTCTGAGTTCGAGGCCAGCTTGGTCTACAGAGAGAGTTCCAGGACAGCCTCCAAAGCTACAGAGAAACCCTGTCTCGAGAAACAAAAACAAAACAAAAATTAAAACAAACAAAACAAACAAATAAAATCCCAAAAAACAAAACCTGCTCTCCTGAAAATTAATTCCCCCTGTTAACCTCCTTGCCTTCCACGAGGCACCTCTCCTGAAAGGACCACCTCAGCCACACTGGACACAAGCTTTCAGCATGTGGATCTCCGAGGGAACACTCAGATACACCTAAAGTATAGCAGAGATGCCAGTCTTCTGCTGCTGCCTCTACCATGAAAGCAAATCCATGCTACACTGCTTTGGGATGACAGCTGTACCCCAACCACCCCAGCACTGATAAGACAGCTGATGGCTCAATATGTGATTGCAGCCACCAAAGGCCAGTAAACCCACAGCCAAGCCACAGCCAGGATGCTTATTCCCACAGCAAGCTCAGGTGACACCAGAAACACATGATCAGCAAACCCTCAGGTCCTGAGTCACAAGCAGAAATGAATATTGACTGATGGATGCCTCTTGGGTTTTATAATTTTATTGAAGAAATTCACAGGGCTGGGGATATGATGTGAATGTCCTTCTGTATATGTTTCTCTTATTGGATGATGAATAAAACACTGATTGGCCAGTAGCCAGGCAGGAAATACAGACGGGACTACCAGATGAGGAGAATGATGGGGAGAGGAGGCAGAGAGAGGCCGAGAGGAGACGCCATGTAGCCAAGGAAGGAGTAACAGGTCCAGACCCTTCTCTGGTAAGATGAGACCATGTGAAAATACTTAGATTAATAGGAATGGGTTAATAATTAAGAGAGAGCTAGCCAATAAGAAGCCTGAGCCATTGGCCAAACCGTTTATAACCCTAACCCTGCCGGCGCAGGGTGCCCTAGGCTCATCCCCAGTAGAATCCCCTCCACCCTCCAAAAATAGAAAGAGAAGAAAAGTGAAACCATAGGGATTTCAATGTCCCACCTCTCTTCATCACAAAACCACGCTTCCCTACTGTAAGGACTCAGGCATTACGCTGGCCCGCCCTGTCACCTGGCAGAGTGCACTCAGGCAGTGCCCTGGTCAGCCCAGGGTTCCATGAGTACTAGTCTGCAGGCAGGTGCAAAGGACCCTTTAAAAGTCAGACCCTGAGCACTTACGCTCTCTGTTGCTTCCTCTTTTGCTCTCTCTCTCCTGCTTCCAGTTGGCCACCAGGTACCCCCTCTTCTTCTCTCCCCTTCTCTCCCCCCCCCCCTCTTCTGCTCCCGGTGCCTCTGTCTCTTCCCTTCCCCCTCACTCCCTTTCCAAATAAACTCCTCACTCAAGCTCTGTCTGCCTGGCGTGTTATTCCCTCTGCCTCGGTCACCCTCGCCTGCTATGGAACCTGCTATGCTCTCCCACGTGGTCCCTTACCTTGGGACCCCACTCACTTGGGACCCCCACCCGGGACCCCTCCCACCTCCTCTCCACCTTTTATTCTTATAACTGTGACGAAAGAACAACACCTACACCTGCCCTTGCTAGTGTTACCTCTATCCACTTCCCACATGGAGAGCCTGTGCAGAGCTGGGAGAAACAGAAAGGGCCAGAGGTGCAAGGCCAGCCTGGGCCACACGAGACCCTGTCTCAAAAAAAAAAAAAAAAAAAAAAAAAGGCAGCATCTCCACAGAACTGTGGCCTAGGGGACTGGGGTATATGCTAGCCCTGGGCACGCCCAAGTCAGGGCTAGACACTATGCCCCACGGGAGAGCAAAGTGGAAGGAAGGTAAGGCTAAGGGCATGGTGTGGAGGGAGTCAAGGAGCTGCCTGGGGTCTAAACAGACGGGAGCAGAATGCTCCCAGCCCCACCCCGTGCCCTGGGAGGAGCTCAGGTTTCCTTCCCCTTGGGGAATGAGGAGGTTGCTGGAAGCTGATCCCTCAGCGGACAGGAGGCAGTCTTTGTCCTTTGTCATGTCGGTGACCTGTCTCATGTATCCATCCCGGCTTTACCAATTCAGCCACCTCAGCTGGACTCTCCACACTCCAAGTCACAGAAGGGTTGAGTTACCGTGAGCTCCTACATCGTGACCCGTCCCAACATGGAGGTGACGGTGGGTGTGGAGCCTCAGACAGAACTGTTCTGAACAGTGCCAGACCAGTGTCGCCATGATTCACTTTTGTTTGGTCCACACAGCCTATCACCTGTACTGCTGGCTGCCGAGGTCGCATCGGCTCAGGCTGTAAGTGTCCGTCCCCAGCACGCTGTGGTAAAGGTTTACTGCTTCCTGGGGCTGGCTTCAAGTCTAACTAAAATTTACTTCTAAACCACCCATCTCTCGAGTTTTAAAGATACCATGATGGAAGCATTAATGTAACATCTGTTTCCAACAGCACTGTGACTCTGCTGGGCTCTTCCTGTCCCATTTCCAGATGCTCAGTCTAAAGCCATGTTGGCGCACTATTAAAACACCCTGCCCAGCCAGACCACCCCTCGCCACCACCCTCTAAAAGGACGCTATTTCTTTCAACCTAGTAACTTTAAGCACGACCCCATACCTCGTTCTGTCGCTGCTGAAGCTGTTTTACCTAGTGTAGATTTTGAAGGTATCGATAACTGTTTGAAGTCATTTGGCCCTCACCCCGTTGATAAAAGAAACAGCTAGTTGGGGAGGGGGTGGACTATTGCTTACCGATTACCGCTTGCAGCAGCCAGCAGTGCCTCCCATCTGGTCTGCAGGCTGTGGTAAGCAGGCTACCTCGCTACCTGGGTTTATCAGTCACACTCGGTATGGCTCCCGACCCGACCGCAGGCAAGGGGTGCAGGCGAGCACCCCAGCTGTTTCACTTACGGCTGCTGTTGTCCTTGTGCAACTCAAATGTTCTGAACCCTGGTTTCTACATTTTTAGAATGGGAACCGAACGAAGTCTTGATGCCATGCGCCTCTAGTCCCCGGGCTGGGCAAGCTGAAGTGGGAGGATTGCTTTAGCCCACGAGTTCAAGGAGAACCTGGGCAATATAGAAGGTGGTGGGTGGCAGTGCTGGTCTTTAATCCCAGCACACGGAAGGCAGAAGCGGGCAGATTTCTGGGAGTTCAAGGCCAGCCTGGTCTACACTGGGAGTTTCTGGCCAGCCACAAATATGTAGTGAGACCCTACTATAAAAAAAAGAGAAAAGAAAAAGAAAAGGGTTGGCATAGTCCATACCTTATAGAGCCTTGTGAATATTAAAGAAGATAATGCATATAAGATATTCGATATATTTACCCAATCAAAATATTCACTTTTATAGTTTTGCTTTCCTATTTATGCTTACTCTGAATGAATACTTCTCACTACTTGTGTGTTGCTTCCTAACGTTAACTTAATTACGGTAAAGGAATCCAGCCCTACAGATTTCCCAGCAAGCTGAACACTGGCAGCTGGTGACTTTTCACTTAGGTCTTAGCAGGCATGATGTTTCACTGGAGAGTGCAGTGCACGGCAATTCTCTTTTGCCTGGTTTAAAACTCTCTCTGTGATTTAACTAGCATGAAACGCAGCTTGAATTTGGTTCCTTGAAGTCATAGGGTGTACCTCCCTGTCCCTGTGCCGTGCAGCCAGGTGATGGTGTTCCTGTGTGGGGTCGGCGCGCTGACACTCCAGTTCTATGTGCTGCTGAGGTGAGCGCCAGCCCAGACAGGCCTTACCTGTGGGGGTGGTGCGGGTGCTCCCTGGGATTCCTGTCACTCCTTTAACCCTGCCTGCCCCATTGACTCTGCTCCTATTATTGGTGGCTGTCCTGTCCACCTCTCTGCATTCTTGAAAACCCGCAGTAAAGCCAAGGTTGCAGAAATCTGGACAGATTAGGTTTATCTTTTAACAAATATTTACTCCCAGTGTAAGAGGCCATTATATGGGAGAAAGTGAGGACACCAAGGTCTCCATTGTGGATTCCCTAGAGGCCAGTCCCAAGGGCCTAAGTGTTAGCGAATGTCTGCAGAGCTGAGGGCAAGGCAGGCATACTCAGCCAACCAACTGGAATCCTAACTGTCTAACTCAGACTCAGTGCTAGTGCTTAGTCATGGAAACTAGAGACCATTCACTAGCCACAGTGTAGGCTAGAGCCTGTCCACTAACAACGGCAAAAGCTATAGACTGTCCACTAACAATGCTGGAGGCTAGAGACCATTCACTAACAGTGGAGGCTAGAGACCGTCCACTAACAACTCTCACTGAGGAAGAAAAGCAAACAAAATCTACTTGCTTAACATAAAGAGTCATAATCTGTGTGTGTTTTGTTTTTTGTAATTGTTTGACCCCACAAATTTCAGAGAATACACTGATAATCCCACTACCTTGATATTCTCTGAGTGAAAACAAAATCAATTTTAATTCGTGATGACCTAAAATCCTAGTGCCGTGCCTAAAGGCAATAGGAGGAACAGTCATTAAAGAGAGGAACAGTCATTAAAGAGATAACAATCTTAAAACTGTGGAACTTCTACAAAACTCTGAAAACTGGGAATACATTTACTTGACGAGGACACAAAGAGAAGGTGTGAGCTGGTGGTAACTCCGCAACGCAAGTCTACCGAGGGCGCCTGTACCCAAAGGTCAGAATTTCTACAAAGCATTGTTAGCAAACCATCAAATGAGGTTAGAAACCTAAGGGTTGTTTCCTAGTTTCCACTAACGGCAGTTATCATCAAGCTGCCAGGATGAAGCCACTGTCAGGGCACGAAGGGAGCCGATGTACCCCAGACGCAGAGGGCTGTGCGGTGAGTGGTGGGTGAAGGGCACCAGCCTGTCAATTGCCTTTCAGGCCCAGATCCTCGAGGTACTGCAGTCAGCCTCTCCTGGCCAACCTGGTTGGTAACATCGTCTTCACCTTCTTCATGCTCGGTAGGTGTGTAGCTGCCTGTGAGTGCCCAGCAGGTGTCTAATTATCTGAACCAGTCCATGGGAACAAGAGCAGCAAAGAGGCTTCTGCTCTACAGATGTCACAGACCGGCACACAAGAACAATCACACTGAAAACCCCGATGGTTGGCCGGGATGTAGATCAGTGCTAGAATGTTCACCTAGCACATGTGATGCCCTGGGTTTGATTGGCACCATCACTAAAACCAAATGTTAAGAGAGTCTTTTAAATTTCGTAGGTAGCAACCATTATAGTTAGCCTACAATCAGAATGTGAAACGCAGGCCAAGTCTAGTAAAATAAATCACATTTTTCTCCTTTCTTCCCCCTCTTTGTTTCTTTCTGGGGTGGGGTTAGTTTCTTGAGATGGATGGTCTTGAATTCACTGTCTAGCCTCAAATTCCAACTAGCCTCAAACTCATAATAATCTTCCTGGCCCTCGGCCTTCAATGCTGAGATTTCATACATGGGCCACCATGCCTGACCTCTAACAGTCTATACAGTTATACTAACATTCTGGATTTAGTTATTCATTCAGTAAGTAGTGTAGGGCCAGCAAGCTGACTCAGCAGGTAATGGTGCTTGCCGGGCAGGCCTGGCAACTGCAGTTCTATTCCAGAATCCAAATGAAAGGACGAAGGAGAGGGTGGACTTTGTAGTGCTTCTGTGGCACTGACCAAGTCCATTGGGGGGTGGCGCCAGGGGCGGAAGTGACCTGTGGAACTAGGCCTCAGGAGGAGCCTGGGAGCACTCTCTTGCTGGTGGCACGAGGAGAGAACATCTGGTGGAGCCTGCTGGTGTTCATCTGTCTAGGTTGTAAGTTATTACTCCCTGAATAAACATCTGTCTGGCCTATTTGTTTACCCTGATCCTTATTAAATCACGATATCTGGTGTCAGAAGTGGGATTCGAACCCATGTCTCCAGGGAAGACTTTTTATTTTAGACAGGAAAGAGGAGGTGATGGGAGATGTCATTCTGTAAATATGTTTCTCTTATTGGTTAATGAATAAAGCACTGTTGGCCAATAGGAAAGCAAGATCAGTGGGACTAGGAGACAAGGAGAAGAGAGGAAGTAGTAGGGAGGAGAGTCAAGATGGAGGATGGAGAGAGAATGCCGTCCCCTCGCTCCAGTAAGACCACCTGGAAATACTTAGATTAATAGAAATGGGTTAGCATTTAAGACAGAGCTAGCTGATAAGAAATTAGTAACTGGCCAACAGAATTATATCTAATACAGCGTCTCTGTGTGTTATTTGGGGCTGGCGGGGAAACCTACTCATAACAAGACTCCACAGTTGTCTTCTGACCTCCCGCCACATACGGCCAGTGGCACTTGTGCCCACACACGATCCCAATTTTGATCGACCTTCTCTTCTTAATAAATGTAAAAATAAGTCATCTGAACAGAGATGATGTTTCTGAGGCCAGACACGGTGGTGCACACCTGTAATCCCAGATTGTGAGCGTGAAGCTAGCCTGAGCTACAACAGTAAGAATCTGTTCCAAGATACAAAAAACGAAACAAGGAAAAGGAGCATGCGTTTGAGCCAATGAAACCTAATGAGCACTGCCATTCTGTCCTTCATTCAGGTCTCATCATACTGCTCACTCAGATGGAGCCGGCCCCCCAGGCTCTGCGAGCAATGCTTGCTGTGTTTGGTGTAGGGTCTTTCGGTGAAGGAGTGTGCACCCTGCTGTTCACAGTCTTGGCATCAGATTGTGTATGTTTTTCTTTCTGTTTTTTAATATTAATTTATCTATGTGGATGATTGCATGCATGTCACGATATTAGAAGGGGGGCAGAGGACAACTTGTGGGTGCTGGTTCTCCTCTTCTATCTTTTGTGTGGGCTTTAGGGATGGAATTCAGGCTATCAGGCTCAGCAGCAAATACTTGCCCAGTGAACCACCTCACCGGTCCTGGTTTGGGTATTTTTTTTTTTTCCCCTTCGATTTTTCAAGTCAGGGTTTCTCTATGTAGCCCTCCCTGGCTATTCTGAAACTCACTCTGTAGACCAGGCTGGCCTCAAACTCAGCCATCTTCCTGCCTCTGTGTCTCCTGAGTGCTGGGATCAAAGGTGTGTGCCACCACCACTCCCCAGCTTTGTTTTTAAGAATTTTAAAAGGCTCATCTGTCTCTGAAAGCTTGGCTACAAGCACACAACCACCACTTTTCAATACTTACTATCTACTTATGCAGAAAATAGAACTATACAGACAGGAATACATCTTCAGACGCACAGCTCAAAAGTAGAAAAAACCCCTGGGGGCTGTAGGGAGAGCTCAGTTGGTAAAGCCTTTTCCTCCCAAGCGAAGATCTGGATTTGATCCTCGGAACTCACATGAAAATGCTCGGTGTGGTGGTACACAAGTGTAATCCCGGTGTTGGGGAGGCAAGACAGGCAGATGCTTGTTGCTCAAGGGCTTCCAGCCTTGTCTAACAGCATGAGGCAAACAGCAGTCCTGAGGACCACACCTGAGGGTGTCCCCCTGCCTCTACATGCGGGAATACCCTCATGCACATATGGATGTGCACATGGATGCACATATGAATATGCACACAGATGCACAAGAAAAGAAGGAACTAATTTTAAAAAGAGCACGGGTGTAGCTCACTGGGGGAGCATGTGCTTAGCATGTATGAGACCTGGGTTCCAGGCAGCATGTTCCTAAAAACATCCCACGTGACAATTAGGTTGTTGGTGCTAGTGATGATGATCTTGGTGTTGCTTTGTTTGTTGTTGCTTGTTGAGACAGAGTCTCTCTTTGTAGCCTTGGCTGGACTAGAACTCAGAGATATGCCTACCTCTGCCTCCAGAGAGCTGGGATAGAAGGCGAGCATCACCACACTCAGCCTGAGACTGTTCTAATTGTGGGTGAATTCTACTTTAGTAGAATTTTATCTTTAAAAAAGTTTTCTTTTAAGACCTATTTATTTATTTATTAATTATATATACATTTTTTTTTCTGCACGTATCCCTCCAGGCCAGAAGAGGGCAACAGATCTCATTATAGATGGTTGTGAGCCATCATGTGGTTGCTGGAAATTGAACTCAGGACCTTTGGAAGAGCAGCCAGTGCTCTTAACCTCTGAGCCATCTCTCCAGCTTCTTTAAAAATTGTTGAAAGTGTATCACTGTTGTGTGATGTGTACTCGGAAACAAATGCATGGCAAGCATGTGGAGATCATAGGACAGACAACTCTGTAGAGTAGATGATCTCCTTCCACCATGCAGTACTGAGCTGGGGTCATCAGGTTTGGCGGCAGGAACCTTTGCCTTAGTTAGGTTTTCTATTGCTGGCAAGAGACACCATGACCACGGCAACTCTTACAAAGAAAACATTTAATTGGGGCTGGCTTACAGTTTCAGTTCAGTTCATTATCATCACGGCAGGGCGCATGGCGGTGTGCAGGCAGACATGGTGCTGGAGAAGTAGCCAAAGTCCTATATCTTTCAGGCAACAGGAAGTTGACTGAGACACTGGGCAGTATTCTGAACACAGGAAACCTCAAAGCCCGCCTCCACAGTGACACACTTCCTCCAACAAAGACACACTTCCTAACATTTCCACTCCCTATGAGATTATGGGGGCCAATTGCATTCAGACTATCACACCTATTAAGTCATCTTGCTGGGCCTAAAAACATTTTTTGGTAAATATTAAAGACAATAAATGTTGCCTGGTGTTGGTGGCACAAGCCTTTAGTCCCAGTATTCAGGAGGCAGAGACAAGCGGATCTCTGTGAGTTCAAGGTTAGCCTGGTCTACAGAGTTTCCTGTCTTGAAAAACAAACAAACAAACAAACAACAAGAAAAGGCTGAATAAAACAAAACACCACTAGCTAAACAACAAAGGTATTCCTGATGGTGCTTTTTGCTTCTCATACAGGAAAAAACCACCCCTGAACTGTACTATTTATCTGTGCTGTTGTCAGCGGGCAGCCTGGTATCCATGGGTAAGTAAACACACTTCCCAAGTTCCCATCCAGACCCCTCAGGAGAAGACACCACTTAACTAAGATCAGTACGAAGTAAGCAAGCAGCCCTGGCCCCTCCTACTGCAGAACACTCAGAGACTAAGTAAAACAGGAATGGGAGGCTGGGGATGGGAGATGAAGCATCCTGGTGCTGTAGCTCAGTGGGGAGTATTGCCCCAGCACAGCAGGAGTCCTGGGCTCAGTTGCTAGCACTGCTAGGCCCAGGTGGAGGCACACAGGTCAGCAATCACAGACACTCCAGAGGGGGTAGCAGGGGGTCAGAAGTTCAACCCCTTCCTGGCCCACCTGAGCTACATGAGACCCAGCACTCAGGAAGCCCAGGCAGGTGGATCTCTGTGAGTCCGAGGCTAGCCTAGTCTACACAGTGAGCTCCGGAACTATAGAATAGAGAAACCCTGTCTGGAAGTTAGATCTTTTCACAGCAGCACAGGACTGGGCCTCTCAACATTCCATCATCATGGACAGAGCAGGGCCCATAAGGGTCCCCACTCCCCGGGGAGCTGTAGTCATTTAATGTTGCTGGTGGAAAGG